CCCAACCACACCTGGCCCAAGTGCATCAGCCAAAATATTGATAACAGAGAAGACACCACTGATGATACCGAAGGAGAGACCAGAAACTGGGGGAAGGGAGGATCTCATCAATGTCAGAGATCACACTGTTGCCTGTTCACCACTGACCCCTCCCCATGCCCGGTTACAATTCTTTCACACCTACTCTCCCTCCAGACCACCTTTCTTTGGAAGTGACAGATGAAGGAAAATATGAAGCCACTTAGAACATGTGGATATTTAGAGACTTCCCTAGAGGAGGGGGCTGTCCAACTCCCTCCTCCAGTCCCCCTCCCTTGGCTCACCATAGGCCATCTGGCGGATGGAGATGGGTGATCTTCCGTCCTCACTCAGCGATGCTAACCCCTCATCTGCCTTCCTGGGGTGGGGTGGGGTAGGGGAAACATGAGGGAAGGCAGGGATGCTCCTTTCCCTCTAATGTACTCCCTTAGTGCCTCCTCTTCCAAACCACCACCCAGGGGCTGCCCCACTTCCCACAGTGCAGTCCTCTGCCCCTCTCCCCTCCAGACCACTCCATCTTCTTACTTAAGCAGCTTGTAGTAGGCAAAGCGGAACACCTCCTGTAGAAGGACAGAGACAGCAGCACCAAAAATCAGGAGGCCGTACTGGAGCCGGGCATCTGACCGGTCGGTCACATGGACCAAGATGAACCAGACCACAGAGGCCAGGAGCAGGGAGACCAGCCAGAAAAATGCCCTGAGAAAAGACAAGGGCAGTGAGATAGTGGTAGGGGCAGCCAGAGAAATCAGGGAGGGAAAGCGGCCAAAGGTGCATGAAAGGTGGAAGTTAGCCTTCCGGATGGTTAGGGAGACAGGGACCAGGTAGGGTAATTGTCTCCACCAAGGGACTCATCTGTAGAAACGTGAACGGAGGGGAAAGGGGAGAAATCTGATTAAAAAGTCTTCAGAGCGATAAGAGCCAGAGTGTGCGAGCACGGAAGGGCGAGGTATCCATTCCTGGATCCTCCCCTAGGGCACCTGACTCGGCCAGCCTAGGTCAGCACAGCCCCCTCACGAGTCTCGGCCTTGGGCCTTCTCTGACGTAGCTGGGAGGAATATAGGAGGAATCTGTGAGATCCTTGGAAGGTGGAAATCAACTGCGGGAAAGGGCAAATCTCCCAGATCCACCCCCCACCCCGCCCAAACTTCACCGCCGACTTATCGCCCCCAATTCAGGCTCCCAGGCTCGCCCCAGTTCCTCCAGCCCCTTCCGCACCTCTCTCTTCGGAGCTCTCCCGCGTCTCTCCGACCCCCTACTCACCCTGCGACCAGGATGATAACGCGAAGCGGGTCTCCAGCCACAGTGATCAAGAAAAGCGCGAAGGCAGGGCCGAACGCGACGAAAGTGCAGCCGAAAAACACCGCAGCCCCCATGGCTGGGCAGGTGGGACGGTGGGGGCCTGACCGGGACAGCCGAATGGGAGGGGCGCGCCGGCTGGGGAGTCCGCGTGGGGTGGCAACGCGACCCCACGAGGGGCGCGGTGCAATGTCACCCCCGGACCCCGGGGAAGGGGCGGGGGGGGGAAGCACCGAAACCCCAGATGAAGGTCCGCGCGACTTCCTCTACGGAAGCCGAAGAGGGAACAAATCCCCGCCGCAGCCCCACGGCCACCTCCCATCTAATCCCCACCCCCGGAACGCCAATGGAGAATCAGCGCGGGCGGAGCCGTGGGGGCGGGGCTGCTCGACCTGCTGGGAGTTGTAGTCGCCTTCTGAGGCCTTGACTTCGTCCCGGGAGTGGCTGGAGCTAAAGTGGGTGGGCCGAGGATGTCGAGACACCGATTCCTGGATTCAGTTGCGCCTCCGTCGCGGTTTCCTTTCGTCACGTTGTGGGGAAATGTAGCAATCCTAGCTCTTCTTTTGCTTTGTTTTGTTTTATTGCATTTTAGGTTTTGGGGTACATGTGAAGAACATGCAAGATTGTTGCATAGGTACACACATGGCAGCGTGATTTGCTGACTTCCTCCCCTTCACCTATATCTGGCATTCCTCCCCATGCTATCTCTCCCCAACTCCTCAACCCCTGCTGTCCCTCCCCTATTTCCCCCCAACAGACCCCAGTGTGTGATGCTCCCCTCCCTGGTCCATGTGTTCTCATTGTTCAACACCCACCTATGAGTGAGAACATGCGATGTTTGATTTTCTGTTCTTGTGTCAGTTTGCTGAGAATGATGGTTTCCAGGTTCATCCATGTCCCTACAAAGGACACAAACTCATCGTTTTTGATGGCTGCATAATAT